ACTATTTTTGTATATATACTGGCTTCCTTTTTTGTTTGTACACATATCAATATATCATCCAAATATACTATTAACCTTATTTCTTTGGATCATGTCCATGCAATTACTGGTTTCAAGATCTTTGTGAACACCCTAAGACTGCTGTCAGCCCAAAAGGTAAGCAATTGAATTGGAATTGGCGTTCGTTAAACTCGAAGATAAAGTAAGGCCGAGCATATGATAATAAGTGTATGTGCCAAAAAGTATCCATTATATCTACTAATGTGAAATAGTTATTTTTTTGAACTATAGTTTTTACTGCTCGATAGTTTCTATCTTGAAATGGATAAAATGTACATAAGAGTTTATTTTCTATAGATCTATAACCACTTGAGATCTACTATCTTTTTTAAGAATTATAAAAATATTCGATAAGAAACATTGTTCTTCATTTGAAACTTCCTTTATTATGCCTTTTTGAATCATTATCCGTATTTCTTGTTCAATTATTTCATTGTCCTGTTCTTTTGCTATTGATGTCTGTTGTAACTCTTGCTTTTGTAAAGAGGTAAGCTTGTCCATTCGGGAGTATAACCTTTTGCTAGTATGCCTGTTACTTATGAATGTCCAAACGTCTCTTCCCATATATGCATATGTTGTACTAACCTTTCTCTAACTATGATTTTGTTCTGGGTTATTGAGAATTCTGTGCCTGGTGCCCAAATGTACTTGCCTGAGCGCCTCATTGTCTGTTTTCCTGATTATTATTGTTGTTAAAGGTTCTCTTATGAAACCAATAATTTGTTCATTTTGTATTGTTTCTATTATACGTGAGGCGAAAAAGAGTTCGCTTTTTGAAATTACTAGTGTTGCTTTGATTTGAAACATGAGCCTTGTTTCTAAGAGCCTCGTTAATAAAATTATTCGTGATATTCTCCCTTTCAACCAAATTTTTAAGGTCTTTCCTGAATACTTCATCTGCATCCAAAGGGTTCTGATAATTTTGTGAAATGGTTTTAAGAACCTGTTGCCATCTCGAGTCATTGATAAAAGATAATACATCAAGTAATAAAGTTCGCATATTAGTAAGTGATGTTTCAATATATTCTCATGCTTGCAATGCTGAATAGTCACTGTCAGGGGGTTTTGATTGATATAATGCCCTAAGTACATTATCTAGTGGGCAAAATACTGCTGATGTCCTGTATGATATTTTTGCTATGACTTTATCTGATTCCCTAAATTGAAAGGACAGCAACTTCCATATTCTTTTGTCCATAGTTGGTGGTAAGTATTTAATATTGGAGTTTCTTGGTTCTTGCTTAAGAATTGCTACTTTTGTTCCTTAGATAGCATATTGTCTTTATGAATTTTTGTGAGATGTTTACACATTTTTTCTGTCAGAAGCCAAGAACCTGGTAGGTTTGTTTTCAATTGTCTAATTTAGTCAAATCCCAACAGACTTTCGTGTTCAAGTGAATTTGATATGTCTGATAAGCATTTATCATATAACACGTCAACAAGTATATTCTCATCATTTTCTTGGAAAGTGGTTTCTTCCTAAAGGTTAGTGTCTTCATTTTCATTGTTATTTTGAGTTAGAGAATGACTTGTAACTTTATTAATAGCTTTTGACATAATGAGACGTTATTATTACAGCGCGAATAGCAGCCAAAATAAAATAGCCTAAGGAATAAGTAAGAGAAGCTATCATATATATATATATATACAAAAAAAAAAATATATATATGTAATCTTATAATATTGTATTACATAATTGGATCAGCCAATAATAAAACAGGCCAACTACATATAATATTGTCTATCATAGTGAGTAAAGTTTATTTTGTTTTTTTGAACATTTTACTAAGTGAAATATTGGATTAAAAGGTTACACAAAATTTTTTTTTAAAAAATTTTTTTTGTATAACCTTTAATCCAATTTTTCACTTAGTAAAATATTCAAAAAAACAAAATTAGTGAGATGTAAAATACGTAGAATTGTGTGCTGAACAAATTTGCTTAAGAGATCAGAACAGATTATCTAAGCAGAAAAAAAGTTTTACATAGAAAAACTGAAAATTTTGACATTAGTATATAGAAAACTTTTTTTTTACTAAGATAACCTT